TGAGAAGTGACGTGCAGCTGTAATCGCAGCAAAAGGTGGTGCTACATAATATTAATGCAAGGGGGCTGAATACTTTTACAAGGCCCTGTATATACGTATCTATATGTATATGTAAATACGTATGTGTATATATACAGTATATATTTATATGTGGATGAACCTCTAAATTATGTCTTATAATAAAAGGTTATGTATTTTATTATTTTTATATGTATAAATAGGCCAGATTTGTATCAATTAGACCAGGCGTGTCAAACTCCAATCCTCAAGGGTTAGGGTCAGTTTTTAGATGTGCCACAGGTACAAAACACTGGAATCAAACGGCTTAATTACCTCCTCCTTGTGTAGATCAGTTCTACAGAGCCTTGCTAAACCTATCGGTAATTATTCTATTCAGGTGTGGTGCAGCAGAGGCTCATCTAAAAGTTGCAGGGCAGTGACTCTCCAGGACCGGAGTTTGAAACCTGTGAATTAGACTACGCAGTTTCTCACCTGCAACAGTTGTCGCAGGCTCTAAAACCTACATCTTCACTAACATAACCAACATTGTAATAATTCATAAATAGTATGTGTTAGGAACATCCAAGGATTGAAATGCATGCAGACATTTTGCACAAAAATAAATTTGGATAAAACAGGTTAAACATACCCCGAAGTTCTACTGTTTTTGTTTGATTTGATTTCACCAAATGCTTATGTGGTCACCAATCATGATTATTCAGGATTTTCTTCCGGCCACATTTCTTCCTCAAAGACGATGGATTCCCACTATCCTAACGGTTCTTAATAACATGTTGGACAGTTCTTTACCCAGTTTTAGTAGTTTCTGCAGTCTCCTTCTCTGCTTGATGCATGCCACTGATTTGACCCCTCTCAAACAGACTGACATCTTTTCTACAACCACAAGATGTCTTTCAACATGGTTATTTAAGAAATGAGAAGCTACTCACTGCAGCTGTTGGGGTTAAATAATTTGTTGCCAGTTGAAACATAATTGCCCATGGAGTAATTAACCAATAGGAGACTCATACATATTGGCTTAGTTAATTTTTATTTTGGCCAGTCAGCATATGAATAGATTTTTGTGTGTGTTTTCCTTACTGTACATATTGAGGTTATTGTTTCTGTTAACCTTGCCACAGAACTACACTCTGTTAACATTAAGGGATGAAATAAAACTGCAATTATTGTCCTAAAAAAGTGGATGTTCTGTCAGTATGTCTTTGTCATATTGAACAGGCAGGTAGAACATTCCATAATAGATCTGTCTGCTGTCTCATCACTCCCCCTGGTGGTTGAAAAACAAAATAAAGGGTTTTTGCATTGAGTCGTTTTTCCAAGCCCCAGGGAGACTTTAGTACATTAGTTCAACCTTCTGTGTCCCTTTGACTGCTACAACTTAGTATCTACATGGAGTGGATGAAGGGAAGTTTTCCTTATTGGTGTAACAAATTGCTTTATTTTATTTTTTGCAGTCACAGATGATGATACAGTCAAGAGGTATTATGCCAAGTTTGAGGAGAAGTTTTTCCAGACTTGTGAGAAAGAGCTGGCCAAAATCAATACCTTCTATTCTGGTAATTCCAACAGTACAGTACTATGAGGCAGGACTTCCTTCTACATCTTTAGGTCACTTTTATTTCCTGCCCAACAGAAAAGCTGGCCGAGGCTCAGCGACGGTTCGCCACGCTGCAGAACGAGCTGCAGTCATCGCTGGATGCCCAGAGGGAGAGCTCTGCCACCGGGCTGGGGCTCAGAAGAAGGAAAACCGTGTTCGCCCTTTCACAGAAGGAGAGATGCAAACATAGAAACATTAAGGATTTGCAGCTGGCCTTCTCTGAGTTCTACCTCAGCCTTATACTGCTGCAGAATTATCAGGTAGATGAAAAGACAGTTTATGTAGTCTGACAAGTTCAAATATCAGCATGTTACAATGGCTCTTTTCAGGTTTTATTGGAGAATTTTAATCTATAATAAAACAAATTTTTAAATAAGAACGCAGAACAGTGCCTAAGAATTATTCGTTCTCAGCATATCCCACTGGCGACCTTTCTGTGAGCAGTTTCCATGTTCTCCCTGTGCAGGCAGGGATACTCATCTGTCTACCACAACATTTAATTAGCCACTCTGACGTTTCTCTTACTGTAGGTATTTGAACACACATGGTTCTCTTGCTGCGTTCCAGCTATCTGGGAAGTGTGAACTTAGTGATGGGTTTGACGTCAGACCCGAGGTAACAGAATTCTAGTTAAGAAGTCGGAACTTCATTGTGGCGACGACGACTGTAGACATTGTTCACTGAAGGTAGCTGGAGTTGCTTCCAGGCTCTCAGTGGGAAATCTGACTTCAGAGGATGTTACAGATGATTTTTCAGATTGGGAAGTCAGAATTTCCCAGTTCCAACCACAACTGGAATGCAGCATCTGCATCTGTCCTGGTTATGTCTACCCTGTGGACAGATGGAGGCACTGGCGCCGCCCTGTGGGTCATAGATCTGATGGATGGACAGGGTGTGATGTTAAATTGCAGTCACAATTTAGACAGTTATGCTAACATTATACATCACCTACTGACTACTACTGACTTCACTGACTCACTGTTCCTCCCTTCACTTCCTGTCAGAACTTGAACTTCACAGGATTCAGGAAGATTCTCAAGAAGCACGATAAGATTCTGGAAACTTCCAAGGGGGCAGATTGGAGGGTGGCCCACGTTGAAGTGGCTCCATTTTATACATGCAAGAAAATCACTCAGCTCATCTCTGAGACTGAGGTGAAAGTCACACTCACTCACTCTCACTCTCACACCGCAGTTAACTAGATGTCATGTGTAAAAAAAGTTTTTGTAGAACTGATCTCATGTTTTGGTCTGTGCTCACTAGGCTCTGGTCACAACAGAGCTGGAAGGCGGCGACCGGCAGAAGGCCATGAAGAGGCTGAGAGTTCCTCCACTGGGAGCTGCACAAGTCAGTCACACAGCTTAAACTTCCTGTTCAGAAGAACATTGTTCTGTTGCTCCAAGTTAATAAGAAAACAAAATGGTTCCATTGATATTGTTTGAGATTTTTCTATATTATGATAATGCAGTGGTGCTCTGTACCACAACCACACAAACTAACACCATAGAGTAATCTTTTATGTTCAAATAGGAAAGAATTAAAAATCAAAAGTATAAGAAACATTGTTACTCATAGATATAGACAAAAGATCTATCTATGACAAAAGATAAATATAGACATCTATATCTATCTTTTGTCTCATTATATAATGAAAGTATAATGTCACTCTTATTATACTCAGAGGTCAGAATTTTCAAGTTCTGAAGTCTAAAACTCACAGTGACGCTAGCTGCAGAGTGACGCACCAAATCTAACATGCTGGCAGAGATCATGCTGTTGGTTCTGTCCAGGCCCCAGCCAATAAGACTCTGCCTCTGTCTTCGATTTCACGGCTTCAAGTGGAATAGCTGTAGTTGATGATGAATTTTTCAATAAGGCCAATCAAATGATCAAATCGGGTTCTGCCAGTCTGTTCAGTCTGACCAAATAAACCATCTAATGTTCAATCATACATATAATATTAGTTTGGATTTATCTGTGTATAGACTTGTCCAAGCTCATCTGCTCCATACTATACTCACCAGATCTGAATGTAATTATTTGAGCCAGTGGTTCCAGTTCCAGAAGTTGTAGTTGTTTGTGATAGTGTGGATTTAAGAAGTGTGTGTGTGTGTGTGTGTGTGTGTGTGTGTGTGTGTGTGTGTGTGTGTGTGTGTGTTCACAGCCTGCTCCAGCTTGGACCACCTTCAGAGTGGGACTTTACTGTGGAGTATTCCTCGTCTTGATTGTCACTGTAGTCATTACAGGTATTACACGCACACACAGCCAAACAGACATGTTGGCAATGAAAAGTTGACTCAGTTTTTACTTCATGGAATTTGATATTGTCCACAAGTTATTTTTATTATAGGTCACATTGTTGCTTGAGGGAACATATGACTCTGACTCAATGTAGACTTACACATTAGCTATCCTGAGTTGGGATAAAATTGCTACAAATCCCTCTACAGCTGTCTGCACAGGTGGTGATCATATACAAAGACCTAAATGTTCAAATCATTTATTACTCCACTCTAATCAATTATTATGATCAGTTTCTCGTGTCCTATCTGCTGCTAAATTTGTATTAAGCAGATCAAATGACAAATTCTTCTGGAGAATATTGTTAAGGAAATAGATAAGTCTTAGCTAAGGTGAAATGCTGAGTCAATCAAGAATGAACCAAAATGCATTTTGATTATTATTTTATTAAGAAATTAAGTAAAGAATACAGCAATGACTCCCCTCCCTAGTCCAGGGAAGTGAAGAAAAGATGAAGTTACATCGCTTTTCATTTCCACCAGCCCTCTTACAAAGATTGGAGAAAAAGGGAGAATCCCACCAGTTTCAGTTTACTTTCACAACTCTGGTATTTGACCTGCAGACTGTGACCCTGGATGGTTCAAACCCAGGTCAGAAATACCCTTTAATATGCGTTTCCATGGAGCTACCTCCAACATGAAGGGTCCTTTAAAGCTAATTGATTGCTTGATTGAAATAAAAAAGTTTGACATAACAATATGCAGAGGTTAGTGGTTCTTCTGCTTGGTTCTCCTTTGGGTCGTTGTGTGTCATGCAGAAGGGTAACACTTTATTTGAAGGGGGTTGAATAAGACTGACATGACACTGCCATGAACATGAATAAGCCTTCATGAATATTTATGACTGTTGTCATAAAGCGTCATTCGGTAAATTGTGACACTTAATACAAAGTTGACATTATTCAAAATGTCTTTGTTATGACAACTTGACATTAACCAAGAAATCATTACTGATATAAATTTGTTATAAAAGTATTACTGATTGCACTTTAAAAATTAGGTAACTTTATGTTATTAAAGGTAAAGTTTAAACAGTAATGATTTCCTGGTTAATGTCAAGTTGTCATAAAGACATTTTGAATAATGTCAACTTTGTATTAAAAGTGTCCAAATTTACAGAATGACGCTTTATGACAACAGTCATAAATATTCATGAAGGCTTATTGATGTTTATGACATGTGATATGTCATGTTAATGAAAGTGTCATGTCAGTCTTATTCACCCCCCTTCAAATAAAGTGTTACCTGCAGAACTTCTACTTCCTGTCAGTCAGATCAATTATCTCAGTTCACAAAGTATTCAGGTAGCTTTCTGGGTTTGTTGCATATAAAATTCTGGAGTCTGTAGTGTGGAGAATATTATTTATGATTGCTTTGATGCTTTTAAAACTGCATGGATGATTGAATGTCAGTTTTGATATTGCCAGCTTGCCAGGTCCATCTTGAAAAGGTGATTGTGAATCTCAACAAAGATTTTTATCTGGTTAAATAAAGGTTATTATTACAAATATGTATTCTACGGATATCTGTAAAGCCACAACTTAAAGATGTTAAAAAAGTAGGAATTTTCTGATCAGGTGTTATTTTTCTTATGATCCAATTCATTTAAGAATAGTTTAAATCCCAGATTTTAACTATAAAAGTCAGATTTTCAGAAGTTCATCCCTATTAATTTACACCAGATGAGGTGGATGATATGATACCTGTTCTACTGATGAAATGAAATCACATACATGATGATCATTTAGTGCCCATCACATTTATAATCTAACATAAGAATGATGAATGTCAATCATCATTCTTCTATTATCTTGGTGATAAGATTAGCAATTGCACAGCTTGTATTGTGCAATTAAGAAAGTTCAGTTCAGTTTTCTTATATAGGATTGACAAACATTAAAGTGCATTAAAGTGACACTGACACAATAAAACCACTTACATTTAAAAAGATGAACTCTTGTGCTTTTATTCTGTGTTCACAAAAGCTTTTAATAAAAAATATTTCTCACAGAATACTATAAGTGAATAACTGTTATGTTCATAGATGTGTTTTACCATTCAGTGATTTGGAGGTGACAGATTTCCAGCTCCAACCCTTCACCGTTGGAGAAATGTTGGAGTCATCGTTCCTTTCTGATCAACATGGCTCAGAAAAACAGCGTTGCAGTCCTTCAGTAGAAGCAGCTCCCTCTTATTCATCACTCCATCTGGCTTCCTCCTTCAAAACTGCAGATAAATTGCTCAAATCTTTGCTGAAATCCTCACAATTTCCTCCACTTTTGTGTTTACGGTTTGACTTACCCTGATTACATCACAAGACGGCGCTGGCGTTTAACCCAGTTACTACAGACGAAAACGGTGACACTCTGCATTCCCGTATTCTGTGAGAAAGGGTGGTTTTATCATGTCAGTGACACTGTAAGCTCAGTTTATTATTTCAATTTAAAAAATGCAGAATCACCTTAAATGTACTTATACTACGGACACAGGTTCTCTGCATTAATACTTTTACACCACAACATATTCAGTAATGTGACCTCTTCTTCCTTCTTCTGCTGTTGCATCATGTTTCTTCCAACAGGAGCTGTGAAGATTAGTGGTTCTAAAGTCTGGCCTGTGGTCAGGATCTACAGAGGAGGCTTCCTGCTAATAGAGTTTCTCTTCCTTTTAGGTGAGTGCACACCAACACACAGTCACTGCAAAGAATTTTTAATCACTTTTTAGAATCATTTCTCTACAAATGGTTGTTGCACTGAAGCCCTCCACCCCCACTTATACCGCTTTGACATGCTTTCATTTAAGTAGCTTTTATAATTGAATTTTTTGTGCTCGTTTGGTTTTCTTTAATAAGACATAGAGATGCACCAATCAGAATTTATTGACCAATTTCAAACAAATACATGTCATAGACTTCTCCTTCAAGAAAGGACTATAGAGCTTTAGTAATAGAAGATGTGATTTTCAGAACACACTGATGTATGAGCCCTAAATTATGAATTGAAGGATATGATTCCATTCTTTTCTCATTTTTTAGGGATCAACACCTACGGCTGGAGGCAGGCAGGAGTTAATCATGTCCTCATATTTGAACTTAATCCCAGAAACAACCTCTCCCACCAACATCTGTTTGAGGTGAGATCTCTCTCTCTCTCTCTCCTTCTCTCTCTCTCTCTCTCTTTCTCTCTCTGTCTCTGTCCCTCTCTCTCACACACACACACACACACACACACACATATATCTCACTTACACACACACCTCACTCAGTGCCCGTATTGATGTGTTAGATGAACTGAACCAGTTTTTATGTTTGGCTGCAGATTGCAGGCCTGTTGGGGGTGCTGTGGTGCGTCAGCTTGCTGTCAAGTCTTTTCTGTGATAACATCAGGATTCCGATGCAGGCCAACCCTCTGGCTCTTTATGGCTTCTTCCTCCTGTTTCTCATCAACCCATCAAAGACCTGTTACTACAAGTCCCGCTTCTGGCTGCTCAAGCTGCTGGTAGGGCCTCTCGATCACAATACAATGTCTTCTTATTTAACATTTTATTCAGCAACACTGCTATGCAGTTTTTATGATGCATTACTGTGACAACAAGGTTTTATTTTTCACCTTTGGGGGGCACCTGTTTAACCAATTAATCAATCAAGTTTATTTGTAATGCACGTTTCAGCATCAAGGCACTTCAAAGTGCTTTACATCATAAAAACACAAAAATCAACAACTGAAACATTATATTTTGTCAAGTGACATCATTACACATGAAAATGTTGGTAAGCGTTTTATTTATTAAGGCTCAAAAGCAGCTCTAAACAGCTAGGTTTTTAGTCTTGATGTAAAGGAACTCAGTGTTATGACTGTCTTGCAGTTTTCTTGAAGTTTGTTATAGATTTGTAATGTATGGAAGCTGAATGCTGCTTCTACATGTTTGGTTCTGGGGATGCAGAGCAGAACTAGAACCAAAAGCTCTGAGAGGTGTGGAACAACAGTAGATCTGTAATGTATTGTATTGCTAAGCTGTTCAGTGATTTATAAACTAACAACAGTATTTAAAGTCTGTTCTCTCAGTGTAGGACTTTAGAACATGATGTGCTCTATCCAGCTTTTAACCAGCGTTTTCTGGTTAAAGCTGGTTTTAGCTTTTAACCAGAAGCTAAAACCAGGTTCTGTTTTTAGCTCAATCTCACTAAAACCAGAACCTGACGTTCTGGTTTTAGTGAGAACTTCAGCAGCAGCTTCTGGATCAGCTGCAGCTGGAGGATTGATTTGTTGGGCAGACCTGTGAAGACGCTGCTGCAGGAATCAATGCATCTAAAATAAATAGATGCATTTCTCTAGATCTTGCTGAGACATCAGTCCTTTAATCCTGGAAATGTTCTTCAGGTGATCATAGGTCGACTTTGTAACAGTTTAGTATCTCAAGAACACAAACGATACCTGAAGTATTTTTGCAGCTAAACTGTCTAAATTGGGTTCTTTCTTTATTTTTCAGTACAAATTCTGATGTTTTCATGTTTAATTCTACACTATTTTCCAGAAATATTGCAGAATTAAGCAAGTAAGAGTTAGTTGTTCTTACTTGAGTATATTTTTGTCTATTCTTCCCACCTCTGCCAATGTTCCATCCACGCTCCTCTTTCAGCAGAAGTTGGGCTCACTATTGTTTTTTCACATATTTAAAAGAAGTCTTTATTTTCACAATAGAAAGAGAAAAGAGTCAGGCAGGAGACATTAGACCAGAGGCAGCAGCAGGGCGATGATGCAGGGTCTGCTCAGGTAAGGAGCGATTAGAACCAGGCCCGAGTTTTTCCAGATATTTCAGAATCACATTCCAAACTATCTTTTGTCTGAATAGCTAGCATAGGCATCATCCTGTTCCCCTTTCAGTCAGTTTGTCTCTCACACATTGTTGTCTGATTTTGCATTTACAGAAACATACTTCAAAGATCAGACACATTAATTTCTGAGATGTTTGAGCTAAAGCTTATGCTGAGCATGATTACTCATTATTTTCTGGTGACTCATCTAAACCTTTTGTCATTTTTGTTTATTTTGTATGAATAAACAACTTGATTATTTCATTTTACATAAAGATTTATTTATATTAAATAAAAATCCTCTGGCGCCGGGTCTGCTGTAGCTGTTGGTTACAGCGGTACAACTTGGTTAGTCAGCTTCAGTTCCTCCCAAGAAATCAGTGAAAAAAAGTAGAAGTAGAAAAAAAACCTGGCAACAGTTTTTCCCTTGTACTAAGTCAATATATAAGTTGTATAAATATTACAAAATATATCATTTTCAATGTTCCAACAGCAGGTAGTGTTCTCTACATCTTTGCTGTGTGCACAAATGCATTTCATATGTATGAAGTCACATATTAGATGCATCAGTCTTGGAATTAATAAGTTCTGACTTTGAAAATGTACGTCAAATTTTATTAATACACTGACTTTCAGAGGATCTCATGTCCACTGATTGTTTTTTCCACATTTCTTCATGTTACAAAGCAGATGAATATTTTTGAAGAGACAGTGAACTGGACCTGTACAGTGACTGTCCTGTCTGCCTCCTCCACAGTTCAGAGTGGTGACCGCTCCATTTCATCATGTTGGATTTGCAGACTTCTGGCTGGCTGACCAGTTAAACTCTCTGGTGGTGGTTCTGATGGATCTGGAGTACATGATCTGTTTCTACAGCTGTGAGCTGAAGTGGACAAAAGGGGATGGGCTTTACAGTGACACAGGTGATATGATCCGAAAGGTCTCTTGATAGAAAAATATCTGGCTGATGCTGACAGATGTGTTTGTGTTCAGAAAGCGTGTGTAACACCTACTCCTATGGTGTGCGGGCGGTCATCAAGTGTCTTCCTGCGTGGTTCCGGTTCGCCCAGTGTCTGCGGCGCTATCGGGACACCAAGCGGGCTTTTCCTCATCTGGTTAATGCTGGGAAGTACTCCACTTCCTTCTTTGTCGTCACTTTCTCCGCCCTGTACAGCACACACAAAAGTAAGATGTTTACTTCTACACATCTGGTTTTGCTAATGAGATAAAGTCTTCCTACACCAGGGGTCACCAACTCCAGTCCTCCAGGGCTACCATCCTGCAACTTTTAGATTCTCCTCTGCTCCAAAATGTCTGAATTCCCTCACCAGCATTCATTCCTCTCTGCAATAGGCTGGAAACGAGCAGTTTATTTGATCCAGGTGAGTTTGAGCAGAGACACATCTAAAAGTTACAGGATGGTAGGACTGGAGGACTGGAGTTGGTGAGCCCTGATCTACAGTCTGGAGAAACTAGAATGTCCTCTAGATCTGAAAAACTGGACTCCAACGTCTAAATACTTCATCTGTCCTTCTGTGAGCACAATCATCCAACCATCACATTGCCTGACACACACACACACACACACACGTCCATCCATCCATGAATGAATGAATGAAGGAGACTTGTGTCTGTCCCACTCTGACATTAGAGATGTTTGATCTCCTCATACAAACTCACCCACAAGTGCAGTGCAGAAGAAACTAGTTCACTGTTTTTGGAGCAAGTTGTTGCTCTCCTTAATGTCTGTGAGTCGGTGAGTCTTTACCTCCTAACTAACTGCCAACTCCTTCCTCCACAGACTCCGAACCCGAACACAAAATCTACCTGTACTTGTACATTGCCTGTTTAATTGTAAGCTCTTGTTATACACTGATCTGGGATCTGAAGATGGACTGGGGCCTGTTTGACCGAAATGCAGGAGAGAACACCTTCCTACGGGAGGAGATAGTCTACCCGCACAAGGTGAGCTTCAGCAGAGCGCTGTGGGATCTGTGCTCACTCATGTATAATCTACTGAGGTCTGTTTCATGTCCTCTGTCTCTTCAGGCCTATTACTACTGTGCTATAGTGGAGGATGTGCTCCTGCGTTTTGCCTGGGTTTTAACAATCGCTCTCACCTCGCTCACCAAGTTTAAAGACATGTCTGACATTCTGGCTACCCTGCTGGCTCCGCTGGAGGTCTTCAGGTGCAAAAAGGATTTGTCTTCCTAAAACATCTCTTCATTGTCTATTTTTTGTTTCTTTCTCATTGAAAACATGTTATTGATTTTCAGAAAAAGATGCAGGCATTTTTTAAAAATCCTTTATTCAACATTAATAGCATCAGTAATCGGGGACATTGAGCAGCATTAATGCACCATTTATGGATTGTTTTCTAATTTCCAGACGCTTCGTGTGGAATTTCTTCCGACTTGAGAACGAGCATCTGAATAACTGTGGTGAGTTCAGGGCGGTCCGAGACATCAGTGTGGCCCCTCTCAACGCCGATGACCAGACGCTGCTGGAGCAGATGATGGACCAGGAGGACGGAGTCAGGAACCGGCAGGGCAAGAAAAGCTGGAAAAGAAGCTACAGCATGAGTCTGCGCCGGCCACGGCTGGCCTCACAGTGAGCATTCATCCCAGATAGGCATTCATCATATTCTGCTATATCATAACTGTGTTAGTAGTGTATTCCACCCAATACATGCATTCCTTATAGTTTTCCTCAGAATGTACCAATCAGAATTAAGTGGCCAATCTTCAGTTTTTGTGAAGTTTTGCTTTTCTGCTATTATTTCATAAATGACCTCGTTGGCAGCAATGGATACTACTAACAAAAAGGTTAGCTCTGCTAAAACTGAAGCTCTAATCATAAACATTGGTTCAACTAAAGTCCTATACCAACATGATATCTAGCAGAAGCCAATGCCACTACTAATTTGCAGAAGCTAATGCTAAAGCGTTAACTTCAACAGTTGAGATGTTTCAATGACAAAATGTGTAATATCTCCTGACACTGGGCCAAACGTGGTTCAGCTGACCTTTCACTCCCACAGGGATCAGGATTAACTGAACTTGTTCATCTAAATAGACGTCGTTTTCCTGCCATCGCCTTCTTGAGCTCAGAGCTTCATACTGATGAAGAAAAGGATGGATTCTATCTGCTCAAATATTCCTTGCTGTCTTCCATGTTCTTTCAGCAAACAGATCAGACAGAGCTGTTTGTCATTATTTCACCATTAACTACCTGCTATTGAAACAATTCATTAAAGTTTGTCTTTTATTCTGCAGCTCATGTGACCAAACCAGCTGAGGAGATGAAAAGTTAAAACATTCTCAACAATTGTCTTGTACACAACCTCTGGTTTTCTAACTCCAAGACAACCAGGTCTTCCTAAAAGATTGAGTCTCTGTGAGCATGTCAGTGTTTTTAGCAAAGTTGAGATGGATGTCCAGGAACGACCCAAGGTTACTTCAAAATAAGAAAATGAACATAAACGTCTAACTACTTGAAAAATAACTAAACTAAAAAGCACAAAGTGAAGGTTTACTTCACCATAGTCAAGTAAATTTGCAATTTAGAATTTATCTTGGAAAATTAATTTAGAGAAAGCTCAGTGTGCTAAATGTGTTCAAAGTTATCTCTGCTTTAGTGAATTAGTGGAAGTGTTCAAACCACTGATTATTGGAATTTATCTATTTTTCTCCGAGATAAAGTTTCACATCTAACAGACAGTCACCTTGTTAGTAAGAAAACCGATTTAGAGAGACAATATCACTGTTAATTAAGCTAAGTTCAGTCACAAATGGCCAGATTAATTACCCATTATTATTCTAATTATTAGTGGTGGTAATTGTATTACTATTATGATGGTAGCATTGACAGTATTGGCATCAAATGTGTTGATATTATTGTATAATTGTATGTCTCCTTTCCACCAACAGATCCAAGACTCGTGACACCAAAGTTCTGATCGAGGACACCGATGATGACTCCTGACATCAGGCCACGCCCCTCGCCTGGGTCCAGAATTTATTCAAAGGAGGAAACTCCGCCTCCTAAGCTAGAGATTACCCAGCGAGCGGGCGTTGAGCTCAAGAACAGGACGAGGTTTGACCTCTGAATCATTTTCCCATCCACAAGCCTCTGCTGAGGTTCACAATTATTTCAAGGGAAGAATTGTCAGCGTTTTAAAGCAGCTCTGCAGCTCCTCCACCTCCAATAAAAACTCTTCCCAACCCAGTGGAAGGCATGATCCTTCCTGATGATTACCCAGCAGTGGACTCCTCCATTATCGCTCTGAGTGTCCTCAGAGCCTCAGCATGAACAATGCAGCTACTGAAAAAGCAAGCACCCCCCACCATGACAGCGATGCTCAGAGAGGGGCCCTCAGTGGCACCGGGGTTCCTCTGTTCATTTGGACCAAACAGTGAGAGAGAATCTCTTCTTCCTCAACAAGAAAACTGAAACGGTCTCTTCCTCTTCCCCTCCATCATGATGCAGCAGACAGCTTCAACCACTCCCCCTGGCCCCGCCTCCTCTCTAGCTCCTCCCACCTCATCATCACAGAGCTGCCTTCTTGCACCTTACATGCTTTGGAAACACCAACATGCACTTTGTAGAAAAGGTCATCCACTAGAGCAGTGATTTATTTCAATGTTTCTGCATGTATGAGGAACCCAGGGTGACGATCAACACACTGACTGTCATCAGACATGTTTGTAATCGTGAGACAAACTCATTAAGTCGGGTTTGTGAAAATGTTCAGAAACAATCAAGCAGAAATACAAGTGAAGATCTGACTGTTTGGAACAGCAGCTGGAATGAAGTTCCTGATGAAACAATGAAGATCCCACAGCCAATTTCCACTGGGAATGTGAGAAGAAATACTTTCTGTTAGAAGACAGTGTGACTGAGAGAGATGCCCAAACACCACCTGCTCACTCAGTGTCTGTCCTCAGAAATCCAAACTGAAAATCTAAGGGCCCAGAACAGGAAGGCTAATTGTTCTGTTGTTAGCACCTGTTTAGTTGAAGTGCATCAATGATGATGAAGAGGAGAGGTCACCTGTCTGTCCCACACTCATTTACACTGCCAACATGAGCATCATAAGAGTGAAAAGATGCATTCGCTGCAGGTGCATGTGGCAAATGAAATCATCCAGTCTGAAATCTACCTTAGAACTGGTTCTAGTGTTGCGCTGGTGTGGATCAAACATCACCTCATTGGGCCCAACATGCACACTTCCATCATAGTTTTCATTTGAAGCTAGTATGTCGTCCTAATGTCACCTGCCAGGCTGTGCAAACTCAGATATTCTTTTCCTTTAAGGCGTCCTGTAAGGGTGAATGTTTTCTGTTTGTCAGTGAGCAGCAGTAGAAGCTAATGCAGTGCATGTTCTTCACGTGTTGGTAGCTCATGTCGGAGCAGCCGTGTCGTCATCACCAAGCCTTTGTTTGGACACGATGGAGCAGAACCTTTAGATTCTGGTGGTACAAGGAGGTTGATGATGCTTTGTGTCTAATGTTGTAGATTTCTACCTGGTTGAACATTAGAGAGCCACTTGGACTGTTGTTACACTTAGTTTCTTTGCTGGTTGGTTTAACCAAGAGTGCAGAAAGGAAAATCCATCCCATCTTGATCAGAAGGAAGCTGGCATGTGAGTCGGCTCCTCCTTCTTGTTGGCTGGCTGGCTCTGCTGTACAGAGAGGATGAGGAGCTCACCTTCATATTTAGAAAATCATCATGAAAAATCTCTCTTGAGGTGTTTTGGCTGTTAATGTCAGCATTTTGGACCATATAAGTGCTGTTTAGTTTTGTGTGTGGACGTTTCCTTGTGTTTTGATGAGGGATCAGTTGTAGGAGCCTCAGTGTTTCCCACCAGGGCCTGAGATGAGTGGGAATCGATGTGAACTCACGATATTTTCGGCATGTTTGCACCTTCACCTGCTGCATCACAGCATTTTCTGGGCTACCTGTCAGACATTTCTGCCTCTTCTTGTCAATTGTACATTAACTTAAAATCTCCATTATTTTACAATGAGAAAATGGACCAATACGTTGACTGACCTAAATGTATTTATTCTCACTTTCACTTAATAAAATTTTTAGCCTCATTTCGGCCATCTTAAAGCTTTTTGACATTCCATAGAAAGATGCAGTCTGTCAAACACAGCAGCCCATCATGAGTAAAGATGCTTAGCACTGGCTCAGACAGATGACTCATCCTCCCTTTTTCATCCTTCTGCTAAATATTTCCCAAAGTAAAGCGTCGCCCATGTGGTCAAAATCTTTGAAAATGCTTGTTTGTTATTTTTATTTCTTGTGTTTGTCTTCAGATACAATGTTCACTTAGATCTTACCATTTGGTAAAAGCAATGTTTTCTTAAGTTGTGGGCCATAGCATATTTAAAAAAATGTTATTTTAGAAAAGGTGTTAAAGAACCTTGATTTAAATGGTGGAATTTGCAGGACCAAACCCAAGTTCCTTCAGAATGTCTTAGGAATGTCAAAGTTGAAGATCTGAATCAGGAATAGCTCACTCTGTACCAACAGATCCCAACCAACTCCTGACAACACTCCAGAGGTGACTGGACCAATCAGAAAGCCGTGCTTTGCGTCTGCCTGCAGGGAGCTCTGTGGCCTGTTCTGATACCGAGGTCACTGGGTCAGTTACATGAGTCATAAACTGCAGAAACCTGAAGAATTCAAGTTGCATGTCTTCAGAACCTTAAACTGACTTTGGACTGAGCAATAAGTCAACAGTGTTACAGTGTCAATTGTTGAGAAACAGTGCTCTGATTAATTCAATGTTCTCTGTATGCATCATTCGGCAATCAGGGTTGCTTCTGAGGTCTATGTGACTGAGCCGACTGCTTCAGGCCAACACCTTCCTCTCTGCTCCATCTGTCCCTCTGGAAGGTTTTTCTCCCCAAAAGGGGTCATGATTTTCCAAAGTGTGACTTTTCCTTGGATGACGAACAGACTGTGGCCACTTCCAGTAAAAGTTATGATGTTCTCCGTCAGTGGATGATGTTACAAACTGAATGAAAGTTACTGACAGTTTATATGTGACACTTATGACTTTGAAAGAACAGATGATTAAAAAAAAGTTCAACTTTCAAATCGATCAACACTCTGTGACATCATCGTGTTTGTGTCTTCTAACCAGTTTTCAAAAAGAACACAGATGACTTTATCCACACCCTGATCCTGCTGCGCCACACTCTGGAACTCCTGATTACATCTTATATATGTGTATATATATATAATTATGAATAAATGATTGAGAAGCGTATAATCAATGACTGTGCTATTGTTGTCTACATGTTAGCAGTGTGATGATACAGAGGTGCCTTGTTCACCAAACTGTTCCAATTTTGTAGTAAAAATGGCTAAAGATGCAAATTGTGGCTCTGAGTTGTTCTTTCATGTACAGGTGCTGGTCATAAAATTAAAATATTATGAAAAAGTTATGTCAGCAATTCCAGCCAAAAAAGGGAAACTTGTATACTATATCCATTTGTTACACAGACTGACATATTTCAAATGTTTATTTCTTTTAATCTTGATGATTAAAACTGACAACTAATGAAAACTACAAATTCTTTATCTAATAAAATCAGAATATTATTTAAGACCAACACAAAAAAAGGATTTTTAGAAATGTTGGCCACCTGAAAACTATGAACATTAAAAGTATGAGCATGTGCAGCACTGAGTACTTAGTTTGGGCTCCTTTAGCCCAGTTACTGCAGCAATGCGGCGTGACATGGAGTCCATCAGTCTGTGGCATTGCTCAGGTCGTGCTAGTGACCCTCAGCTCTTCTGAATTGTTGGGTCTGATGTATCACATCATCTTCCTCAGACCAGAGATTTTCTATGGAGTTCAGGTCAGGTGAGTTTGCAGGCCAGTTAAGAACAGGCATGTCTTTGTCCTAAACCAGGTCCTGGTAGCTTTGGCTCTGTGTGCAGGAGCTAACTCCTGTTGGGAAATGAAATCTGTATCTCAATAAAGTTGGTCAGCAGCAGGAAGCCTGAAGTGCTCTAAAACTTCCTGGTAAGCGGCTACGTTGACCTTTAACCTCAGAAAACACAGTGGACGGACAAACCGTCACTGACTGTGGAAACTTTGACTGGACCTCAAGCAACATGGATTCTGTGCCTCTCCTCTCTTCCTCCAGACTCTGGGGCCTTGATTTCCAAAAGAAATGAAGAATTCACTTTCATCAGAGAACATAACTTTGGACCACTCAGCAGCAGTCCAGTCCTTTGTGTCTTTAGCCCAGCTGAGATGCTTCTGATGCTGTTTCTTGTTCAAGTGGCTTGACAAGGAAAAATGACAGCTGAAACCCAGGTCCTCTGTGTGGTGGTTCTTGAAGCTCTGACTCCAGCTGCAGTCCGCTGTCTGGGAATCTTTCCCACATTTTTCAACGCATTTTGTTTCACAGCTTCTAACAAATCAACTTTAATGTTCATTTGCTGCCTATATATCCACGTTTTACAACTGGCTTAATTTACAAACTAAGTTATTGAATTATTGAAAATTATGGATGGATTTACAGACTGCAGTAGGCATGTGGCATCCGAAGGGGGGGTTAATGATGCAAAGCTATGAACCCTGAAGTCTGCAGTCTTTTTGTTGTTCCTGTTCATTTATCAGACTGAATATTTGAGCTGCTGCAGCAACAATGTCTTCAGTTCAACATCTGAGAGAGTTTGTCAGTGACAGACGATGTCCAGTAAGGAGAAGAGCTGGGCCGTCAGCGCGGATCACTGGACATCACTGGGCAACCTGCTGCTTGCATCCAGAGCTTTATTAGATTTTATTTTACAGACCAACATAGAGTAGAGCATGATTGTGAAATCTGACATTTAAATTCAGATTTTCATTTATATTCATCCTCTTGAGCCAATACTTGGAGAACCATGTTTGGATGTGATTGACTTTTTTTTTTTTTTTTTACCAAATATCTAAGCAGCTGTGGCTCAAACAGATTGGATGGAAAACATCTACAAACTTCAGTTTGCAATTTTTTCCATAAACTCTCAGCTGGTCTTATTTTTGAACTTTGACTAGACCACACAGGGGGTGGTTACAGTTACCCTTAATGGTCAGCATTGTGCTGTGTGCATGGTGGGTAGTTTTTCTCCACATGTGCAAATGATTTCCAATAATCTGTCAGCAGATGGACAGGCCTCACAATCCTCTAAATGAAAAGTAGTCAGTTGAGGTGGTTCAGACACATGATCAGCATCCCCACTGCATCTCAGTCCCAAGCTGTTGTTATGGGTCTCTAAACCAGGGTTTTATACAATCGGTGTTTCACACTAACTTTAGCAGAGAGAGAGAGAGAGAGAGAGAGAGACAGAGAGAGAGAGAGCTATCCCCTCATGGACTGACATTGTTCTGCTGGCCCAGAATCTATAAGTGACAAAGAAGAGAGATTAGCAGAATGAAGAGAACGGCCAAAGAAGATCACAGAATGCACTGACACCACCTGGATCATGAAGACATGATGAGGATCAGATCCCAGGTCAGTTATCAGTTCTTCTCTTGCCTCATTCACTGCACATTTTGTTTTAGTTTTATATTTTGGTACAAGCATTAGTTTATAAATCATGTACAGAATCAGCCAACAGGACGACCGAAGGCTGTTGGTCATAGCAGAATCACATGAGGCTCAATGTTGAGAAGAAGAAAATAATCTTATAGCTGAAAATCACAGGAAGGAGCTGATCTCCTCATACATCTCAAGTTATTATTGTATTTCTGTAAATAGTGCAGCTGCAAACATATCTGCTAAAACAAAAAGAGCTGCAGCTCTATGCTAGCTTCCTCGGTTTGGTGCAGGTATTTATCAGGATTCTGTGTAAACTTTAAACTAAATTAGAAATCTGAGGCATGATGGACAATTGAAACCAGAAGTTTACATATACACCAAATGAAAAGACATACAGATTTTTTTTTCTCACTGTCTGAAGTTAAATCAGACCAAAATTATCCTGTTTTGGGTCAGTTAGAATGTTCAAACTAACTTCTATTTGCTAAATGCTAGAAAACATAGCAGGAATATTTTTAAAAAATGTGTTTTGTAACTTCTTTTGAATTCAGAACTTGCTTTCAGAATGTTTACTGTCTCTATAAACGATGAGGGAATGTCCAGATGATGAAGTCATGGCTTTGGAAACCTCTGATTGGTTCACTGACATATTTGAGTTAACTGGAGTCACACCTGAGGACATTCTTCAAGGCCGTGGAACACACCGCTTTCTGGTTTGACACGATGGGAAGGTCAGCAGAAATGAGCCAAGATATCAGGAAGAGAATCATGGAGCTGCTCCAGTCTGGTGAAACGTGTCCTGTACTGACATGGGCAGCAAGGAGGAAGCCATTACTCCAAAAGAAACATCAAAACATAGATTGCAGTTTGCAAATGTCCACAGGTACAAAGACCTTTATTAATGGAGACATGTCCTGTTTTCTGAGGAAACTAAAGTGGAGCTTTTTGGGCAGAATGACCATTGTTACATTTGGAGGAAAAACAGATGGCGATGCTTGTGCCATCCTAACTGTGAAGAATAGAAGTGGCAGCATCAAGTTGGACACTTTGTATCCAGAAGGGATCCATGCATATTTACCACCTCTCCAAATGTATTCACTTTTTTTTTTCAAACATTAATTTCTTATGCACATGTTAGTTTATTGTCACTATTTATGTAATGAAATTAATCTTTGTTTGTCCTGAGAGGGCTGATATTTTGGACCCTGTTTTCTGCTGTAGAAGTTCAATGTAACACAACTAAAACACAGCGATCAGGCCTGAAACCTGGGAGTAGATGGACTCTGACCTGAACCTTCAGAGCCACATTAAGACAGTTCTACCACCTGAAGAACATTAGAGGACTGATGTCTCAGTGAGATCTAGAGAAACTCATCCATGCGTTTATCTTCAGTCGTATCTATTATTGTAACAGCGTCTTCACAGGTCTGCCTAACAAATCAATCCTCCAGCTGCAGCTGATCCAGAAGCTGCTGCTGATGTTCTCACTAAAACCAGGAAGATGGAGCACATAGCACCAGTGTTAAAGTCCCTACACTGGCTCCCTGTAGCTCAGAGAATAGACTTTAAAATACTGTTAGTTTATAAATCACTGAACGGTTTAGCACCACAATACATTAAAGATCTGCTGTTGTTGTATCAACCTTCCAGACCCCTCAGGTTCTGGTTCTGGTTCTTGTTCTGGTTCTGCTCTGCATCCACAGAACCAGAACCAAATGAGGAGAAGCAGCATTCGGCTTCTATGCACCACAAATCTGGGACAAACTTCCAGAAAACTGTAAAACAGCTGAAACACTGACTTCCTTTGAATCTCGACTAAAACCCAGATGGTTAGAGTTTTATTTGAAATGTAATCAATTATGAATTTAATGATGGCACTTGACTAAATGTAATGTTTTGATTATTGAGTCTATGTTGCATGGCTTTGTGTTTTGTGTTTGTTGTGATGTAAAGCACTTTGAAAAGCCTTGCTGCTGAAATGTGCTATACAAATAAAATTTGATTTGATTTGATTACTGTAAAGACAATATTCTGAGTATTTTTTCTAGTGACCTTGCTGAGTGACATGGTTTATTAAGACATAATTTATCCCAGCATTAATGACTTTACCAAACAGAAACATTTTCTCATTCATGCCCTGCTGCTGACGCCAGATGGCAGCCCTGAGTCTGATTCTGAACAGAAGCTTTCATTGCTCCTCTGAGCCTTCAGAAGCAGGATTTGATAAGATGAGTTTATGTGGAAATAAGACATTTCTACAGGTTCAAACTTCTCTGGCAGGTAATTTATTGAATTCTTGTAACTGAAGGCTGCTTTGATTACTGATTGAAAACAAATATCTTTGACATCATTGAGTTTTATTCATTGCTGCTTCTGCTTTGCAGTCCTTTAGGTTTGTTCAATAAGAGTTATTATTTGGAGCAAAAACATTTGTTATGACATAAAAAACATTCACTGTTGTATTTATGTGACACACAGAGTTATATATTTCAAGCAATTATTTTTGTTCTTTTTGATGATTATGTTTTACAGCTTCAGTTACTCAAAAACAAAATATTACATAAGACGAATTTTTAAAAGGGTTTTTAAATGGAAATGTTCTGTTAAGTCCCTGTTATAGCTCAACCAGTACAGTACCTGACACCACTAGCCAAGCTAGCCAAAACAAGTCACTGCTAAAGAAAGTCAATAACTAAAGAGTTGTTGGAAGAGTCAGAGATGTGATGATGAACTGGAGCTATATTCAGAGTTTTGACAAATCTTTATAGATGCAGTATATAAATATGTTTGTTTTCTTTTTTTACATATTTGTTTAAACTGTTAGTGTCGTAAATGAGACAGTTA